TTAATTTTTAAGTGATCTCATATGAGATCACCGAGAAGTAATGGGTTAAATGACCCAAAGGCACAGCCCACTCGCCTTCTGGGGGCGTATGTCGATGTGCTTTGGGAGGACACTGCCAGTGGTGGCTGACAGAATTGCTGTCAACAGCGAAATGTTTTATCTAACCCATACCTCCTTTCATTACCTCGGCATCCTCCTAAGAATAAGACCTTCACACAGGCTTCCAATCATTACAAATTTCTAGTGAGTCGTCCTCTGTCTGTACGTTTTACCAGGAGTTTTGTAAGTTAAGTGTGTCTGGGTAGTGTGTGCCATGCTGCAGGCTGCCCGGTGTATTAGCCCGGCGTCAAACAGCATGCAGTGGAAGCGCCTGCACCGTTTTTTCGGTCTCATTTTACCATGATTACATGTAACTATGCTTTGGTGGGCTGTCGCACGTGTTAAGTTTCATCCCAGAGTAGCGGCTTTATATCGCACATTGGTCCTTTTCGGTCGGTACCTGCGCATTCATTCATGTTGGAGTGCAACCGACAAAGTCCAGGGAGACGGGAATGGCCATTTCCGGCTTATTAGCCGTCATCAGCCAGTCAAACCCAATCCCAGGCGTGGATCACCCTGGACTCTAACCCGGAATCTTTGTTCATTGAGTGCAACACTCTACCATTGCACCACGGGCTCGTCACTTTTGTCATTTGCGATCGGAAATGTGATAAATGTGCGTGTGTAGGCAGGGGGAGGGGGAGCAGGGGACGACAACAGTTTTTCTCCGGTGGACTGAAATTCAGTTGAAACTATTCACCTTGTTTTCATAAACTATTTTTGATTCTCTTCCCCATCAGGCAAATCAATGCGCATGATCGTTCTGAAAGACTTGTCAGAGACCTTTTTGCCTGACCTGAATGGAATGGTTAACCGCATCAATGACAATTTGGAGACCTTAACCAACTTCCTGCACCACCTTCCGGGCGAATTCGCGAACACACAAGACACCGGCAATTGTCTCGGTTTCACCCTCCAGGTAATCAATCACGTCTCCTGTTCCCTATCTGTAACCACCAGCCCTATTGCCCCACCTTTAAAATCACACAATATAAACGTGCTACCGTATGGTTTGTTGTTGCGGACGAAAGCAGTTACCGGCCTGGCTGCAAGCGCGGTCGTGGCATAACCCTCATACAACGGCCTGCAACGCACTGTAACAATGAAAATGAAAGGAGGGCTGAGATGCAATAATTGTATTCCCTCTATGCAGAAGAGCATTGCTGTTAGGATGACCGAGCACGTCACCCAGACAGACAGACAGACAGACAGTCTGAGGTCATGTCGGAACAGGATAGTCCGGCGCATAGAGAACGGGCCAAATCACGCGACCTTCAAAGGGCGGACATTAGACCAGGACG